GAATGTTCTTTAATTAGGTCTGTCACTACCAATTTTGTCAGGCTAATAGGACTAGGTCCAAAACGTATTTGATTTCTTGGCCAGTGAATCAGCAACCTTTCGATGTGGCGTGTCCTTTGATCCATCTTAAGGTAACCACATTGTTGAAAAATGGATACTTCGGCCTAAGCTTCGTGACATTCTACTCCTAACCCTGAGTAAATTTGTGGTCTGTTCAGGGTGAGTAGTGCTGTCTGCTATCTGTATAGATGAGCACGTTGCTTCCAGTGATATTGTTTCTGGTGATTTATTTTGCTGCTATGAGAATCCCCATGAGCGCTGTTTGATCTACACTGGCACTAATTCTCACAGCCCATTTTATGTTTAGGTTTAAGGATCCTACATCCTGGGCCTTGTTTTGTTTTAGAACCCTCGGTGCAGATATGAATCGTATCTGCCATTTTCTGCTCTTTTATTTGTTCTGTTACTCTGCTGTAATGAAATTCGATACGAGTGTGATAAACTATGAATACCTAGTTACAGAATATACTAATATTGGTCGCAGCAATCTTGTTTTTTGCTTTCTCGTAAAAACTCGAGGTTACAATTTAATAAATTCCAGTATTTCCGTGAGCAGTTCGAAAGGGGGGGAGGGGGGTAATTGCCGTATTACCCCTCTTGTATCCGCACCTGGCTCTACATCTTATTGCAAGCATAATTCCAAGCGCTGCTGAAGATTGGATTTAATGTCTCTAAATAGAAGCTGGCGTAAATTTTGGAAAAATTGTTGCTGTTTTTCATTCTTGAACTGTTTTTGAAGCATTCTGCTGAAATTGCTATTTTACATCATTCCCCAGATTTAGGCATCAGGATGGATTAAGTCGGAGGTAAGTGGTGGATAAACTCAATTTTTCTAGATATTATCCTGTTACCGAAATATTGTCTTAAAATCGTAAGAGAGGCATTAGCGGTATAACTTGTTACCCCGTCTTGCTGAAACTGTTACATTGTGACCGTTTTCATCTTCAGCGAAGGAAGAAAGAACCCAACAAGTTATTCGTTCACCGTGAAGAGGTGCCTCCAGAATTTCTTGTGGTTTGATAATAAGATGTGTGATCCTTCAGAAAACAATATATTTGGCAGAAACTTTTCATCCTCATATTGCGTGGCTAGGACACGAACGCAATATTTACACGTAAACGCTTGTTCGCAATATTTAACTCATGAAACGTCTGAATCTTATACGAAAATGAATCAATATCTTTAGGAATTAAACGTGGAGTTTCACTATTTAGGTCCATTTTAACAGCAGTTTTTCTTAGACTCCTCTTTGTAGATTCCATGATTTGGTACAGGTGCCTGAGGTGGTTTTTATTATTCTGCACTGTTCTCTTTCACCCAGATCTTCCTCTACTTTAGACTAGAACAATGTATGTACGTTGAAACTTCTTTACTAGGTGTCTTACTGTTATGTTTGATTAAATTTCAGAACACTGTCTTAAACGTCTCAAATATATTATTCCTAATTTGTGTTAAAACCACACATTCAAAAAAATGCATATTACCCATTCGGCAAATAACACTTTCAAACAGCCCTAGATATAGTATAAGCTAAATATATTGCCTTCGCCACGTGTCGAATATCACGTAGCCACCAGCTCGAACAACAAACACACCGCATTCCTCAGAGGTGCTATCTGGTATGTTTTAGGCTCTTGCTCCCTGCCACTAAAGTTAAAATAATTTAACAAGTTTTTAATACAAAACTGTCATCTAGACGTTAGTATGATATTTGTGCCGTTTTTCTTCATGGCAATTAAGCATTCCAAACAAAATGGCTACCCGTGGGAAATGACATGCACATGATAGGTTATAATATGGCAACACTGTGGGCCTGGTGATTTGACAGAATCAATCATATAGTTAGTTATATATACCTTGAAGTAAAAATGTAGTAATTATTTTTATTTTACTATTCAAAGGCTGGAAATTGGTGTTAAAACACTTTTTTGCTAAACCAATTCAAATTAATGAACACTTGTCAGGCAATATGGCCGCTCGCAAACGACCTGATTTGAGCAATCTATATAAATATATATGTATCATTCACCCTGTTAATGACAATAGGCCTACAGGGTTGCCATATCTAAACTGTTAGTTCCTACTGGCAGTATTTTGACAGGTCGTTGGAATGTCTAATTGTTATTTTACAATCAATTTCAATATCTTGTTGTTATATTGTGTTTTACCTCTCTAACAAAACTACAGAAGCACCCAAAAAATTATAGTTGCGTTTCGCTAACGCGAGATCGAATTACGATCTAAAACTAGTGGTAATTAATATAGTTCTCTGTAACTACAAATATTGCTAATTGGACTTGATACGTGAAACAGAAGAGGGCAGCACTTTATATAAATATTAGTATTATTAAGCGGCGGAGAGGTAAAATTCTTTGGCATTTTATAGATAAAATGGTTTGAGTAGTGGAAATGGTAGTTTTTGATTTGTAGATTTAAATGTTAAATAAAAAAAGGTTTTCCCAAAATTTTTGTTTACTATAGTAGTTATGAATGAGGATATAAAAAAATAAATTTGTTATTTATGTAATTTTCTCATTTCTTTTTTTAAGGATTCTGTAATAAGTTTGAGGTTTGGGCTGATAGATTTTTAATGACTTGTGTGTACATTAAATTGAGCCATTTCCTGTACACTTTTATTATTTCCTGTTTTGAGTTACCGACGGTATTCCAATAATTTTTGGAATAATTACTATCTCTTAGTATCCAGCTATAGTAATTTGATCCTCACAGACTACTATGTGAAAAGTATAACAACTAATTAAAACAGTGGTGATAGAACTGGATTATTTTATAGAGTGTTTTGAAACATGTTCTAAATATGGCTAATTTCAAGTTCAATTTACTCAGTTTTTTCAAATGCATCGTACTGTATAATATATTAGTATAAAATTCCTTATAAATTTACTTTTCCTACGACCACTTAGGAAAGTGACACATATCACACTATATAGACCTATGGAAAGTGCCCTATATCACACGCGTATGAATAAGAATTTACTTTCCACCCAAGTGAGAATATGCTACTTTCCGCAGTAGCTGTCAGAAAATGTCAAACACATAATTTCTATTTTGATCTATGTAATGTCCATATTAATACTAAAATCGATATGATTGTTAAATTATTGTAAATTAGATCCTAGATATTTATCTTTAACAATTATTTTTAAAATAATTTTAAAATAACTAAGATATATTTGCTTTTTATTCTGGTTAAACACATAAGCGATTAGATCAATCAATTACCGTAAGGCCTGTTAGCTCAGTTGGTTAGAGCATCAACTTTGCAATTCGAGACGGTCCAACGACCGCGATCGAATCCTGGCTGTGCCAGATTTTTTTTTTTTATTTTTTTTTTTATTTTTTTTTATTTGTTTAGAAATTATGAAAATTTAATAAATACGATTATTGTTGATTATTTTTTTAAATACATTTTAATTATTATAATAATCTGGTTTTACATTTTTTGATGAAATTATGTTGTGGTCGTAGGAAAAATATTGTACATCACTTGTGTGAAAAGTGATTTTCCACACTCGTGTGATAGTCGCACTCGGCTTACGCCTCGTGCGACAATATTTCCCACTCGTGTGAAAAATGTCACTTTCCACACTCGTAATGTAATATACTATATCCAACGATACCAACATGTTAACCACTACAGGGTGTTCCATCAGTGTTTAATTGATCGATAGCTGTTTTACTATTGAAAATACGAAATAAAAAATATTAATATAAAAGTTCTATGACCATATTTAACAATTATTCATAAATATACAGAGTAATCCACAAACGAGAGACTGACCAAACCTATACTTTTTTAAGCAATCCACCCTGCAGGTAGTTATGCATATTTGATTGATTTCACATCGTCAAACAGTTTTAAAAGGCTTCACTCATTTGCTATGTTGTATTAAAATGCGAGATTACGATATTTTCAATTTTTTAAATGGAATATTCTGTATATTATACTACCACCAATTAATTAATAATAAATAATATACAAATAAAAAAAATCAGTTCTATCACCATTATTCGTTAGCTTAGTATCTTATGTCTGTATATTAAACAATTTTGAAATCAATGTAACCCTACCTAAATTATGATCATTTAATTTGGGGTCTACATCATTCTCTAATTTCATAAAAAAATTAATTGGGTTGTCAGAACCCTGCAATATTTATCCAAAAATCTTTTCAAAATACGTATTTTTTAAATCCATTCAACTTTTATTTAAAACTTGTTTCCGTGTCTAATCAAAATAATGAACAATTACGCACTAATGTGACACCCTGTATTTGAAATAAATGGTAAGTATTTAATTTTATAAGTATTCAAAGTAAGTTTATTTAATTGCAACCAATTTTTTTAATCCTGAACTCCTACTTTCTACATGTGAGTTATGACAGTGTCAGCTGTAAAACTAATACCTACCTACTTCCAAAAATAGCAAACAGGAGAGTCCAAGTACATTTCCTAGTGAGACCCCATAAGTAATCGTTTTTAAATTATTTTATACATTTTTCCTAATATTTAATATTTAATTTTATGAAAAATTGAGTTGAAGGCTTTTTAAAGAGATCTACAAAGATAAATATTGGAGGTGTTTTCGAATTTAAAGCCAGATATTTCGTTAGTAATGCCTGTATCGCATCTTCTGTTGACCATTTTCTCTAAATTTATATTGTTTATCAGATAAAATGAGAAATTTATATTAACAATTTGTTATTTGACATTTTTAAAATTTAAAAACACTGAAAAAGAAAGAATCTAGTAATTTTAATACGGCAACACCCTGTATACATATAAAACAAACTAAATATCCTAAAGATTATACACCATTAAAATGATCAAGCTATTACATGAATTTAAACAAAAAGTGTTTCTATATCCATTCTATAGTTTTATATATATATATATATAAAAAAAAACCATTGACTTACCCTAAATCTAAGCTCCCCAACTGGGGCTTTGGCGTACGGTATACCACTGAAACTGTAAAATCTACCACCGTGGTAGTCTTTCTGCTTTTTACCCCGTATTCTACCGTTTTCGGTGTTAACTACAATTTCTTCATTCATCTTTTCAACCCTTTAGTCAACGCTTCAAGTGATTCAAACTAAAAGTTCTGTAATAAAAGTATTAAAAGTTTTTCGGCGTAGCAAAGCGGCACTCGAACTGGTTTCAGATCTGTTGATTTTACGTTTAAACGTAGTGTCGCGGTTTTCTATTCTACCGTGCCTCCATATTCACCCAATGTATAAATACATTTTCGGGTAGAGGTGGAACGGGCTGGAAATAACGTATTGGTAACGATAATCGGTGACCCGAAGCTCGGGCTAGACAAAAATGTGGAATTTTTAAATTTTTGTCGGGTATTTGGAAATTCGAAGATGAGAAATTCGTTGATAACGATAACAAAAAGCGTGCTCCGCGAATTTTGAAGATCATTGATTTGTTGGTTACGTAATATTATGTGTTACGTTTATCTAATTCGATAGTTTTGTAATAGGTTTTATTTATGTTTTGATCATAATATTTATAATAAAATAAATATGAATATAGACTACGTATTAAGTCGTGTAAAAGTGCTTAAGTGTGAGAACAAGAAATCAGAAAAATAAATAAAGTTCATTTTTTTTTTTTAACAAATAATTATCAAATTTAAGTTGTTTATTAATATAATTATTAGTCTCTTTTACTAATTCCTAATTCGTAACATTGTAATTAAATACAGTTCTCTTAGTTTTTAATTTTCTTTGGTGGAAAGGAGGTAAATCGTATTATTGTAAACCAAAAACAGACAATAATTTATTTTACAGGTTATTTTGCGTTTAGACTTAAATAAAATAGATAGGTATTTGGTAATTTAAAATGTATCAATTTATCAATGATATAAATTTCAATCCATTTAATACCACGGAAGTGCATACAGTCGAAGAGGTAAAGAGATACCTTAATAAAAACATAGACTTGAACTTTACTATATTTCAGCAAAATATTAGAAGTGTAAGAAAAAAATTTAGATGAGTTGAAGGTCATCTTATCAGATATAGACTATTCTTTCGACTGTATTGTACTCACAGAAACGTTTATAGTTGAAAATATACATTTTTTTAATTTGGACAATTATAATTTAGTTTATAACCAGGGACAAATAAATAGTCATGATGGTTTGTTACTTTATTTAAGGAATAATATAAAAATTGAAAGTAAAATAGTTTCTATCGGTAATTTTAACTTTCTTCAAATAAAAATATATAATAATGAGTCTGATAAAAGTTTTTTAATATCTGGAATGTACAGGCCTCCTTCCACAGAGGTGAATAATTTTCTTCATTGCCTTCGAGAATATCTGGAACAAATAAAATGTAGCACTATTGAAAATCATGTATTTTTAGGAGATATTAACATTAATATATTAAATGCACATGAATCCTCAGACTACATGGATATGATGGTAGAATTTAATTTCAATTCTCTAATAAATGTACCTACACGTATTAAAACATGTTTGGATCATGTATTTTTAAAAAGCAAAATATCTAATTTAGAAGAAAATATATTAGCAGATCACAAAGCAACTATAGTAGGATTAAAATTAAATTTTAACTGTAAATTTAAAAATGAACGCAAAAATTTGGTTGAATATATAAACTACAGCGCCCTAAAACAAAAATTAAATAGTCATGATTGGACGCCCTTCTATAACTTAAATGACGTAAATATAAAAACAAATCACCTAGTTAAACTACTTAGTCAAAGTGTCGCACTTTGTACAAATGTCAAAAAAATTAAACGGACCCAGATTAAAAGAAAAGATTGGATAACGCAAGGTATTATAAATTCAATTGCCACTAAAAACATGTTATTTAACGAATATAGGAATAATCAGAACCCCACTACCCTTTTAAAATATACTAAATATCGAAATAATCTAAATCGAATTATTAGAGAAACTAAAAAAAAAATTTATAATAATAAAATAAATAAAAATAAATATAATAATAAAAATTTGTGGAAAATAGTTAGGGAAATTGATGTACCAGTGAAAAAAATACTTACTGAAAGTAATGAAATTCTTATAAGCGAGGAAGAACAGGCCGAAAGCTTTAATATGTATTTCTCCAAAGTAGGAGAGAAACTGGCCCCAAAAATAATTCCTCCACTATCGCCCAAACCTGGAAAAAATAGCACAATACAGTCATTCTTTTTAGAACCTGTAGATATAAATGAAGTAAAAGAAATTATAAAAACGTTAAAATAAACAAAACACCAGGGGTATGATAAACTAAAAAGTGAGATATTTAAGGAAATAGTTCATGAGATTGCAAATCCTCTTAGCCATTTAATTAATAAAATTTTTGAAACAGGAATTTTTCCCACTGACCTTAAAAAATCAGTGGTTATCCCAGTTCATAAAAAAGGACCCAAAAATAAAATGAGTAACTACAGACCTATTTCCTTAATTACCACTTTATCAAAAATCGTGGAAAAAGCTTTGAAAAATAGACTAACTAAATTAATTTTTATTAATTTTTATTAATTTTTATTAATTTTTATTAATTTTTATTAATTTTTATTAATTTTTATTAATTTTTATTAATTTTTATTAATTTTTATTAATTTTTATTAATTTTTAATAATTTTTATTAATTTTTATTAATTTTTTTTAATTTTTATTAATTTTTATTAATTTTTATTAATTTTTATTAATTTTTATTAATTTTTATTAATTTTTATTAATTTTTATTAATTTTTATTAATTTTTATTAATTTTTATTAATTTTTATTAATTTTTATTAATTTTTATTAATTTTTATTAATTTTTATTAATTTTTATTAATTTTTATTAAGTTTTATTAATTTTTATTAATTTTTATTAATTTTTATTAATTTTTATTAATTTTTATTAATTTTTATTAATTTTTATTAATTTTTATTAATTTTTATTAATTTTTATTAATTTTTATTAATTTTTATTAATTTTTATTAATTTTTAATAATTTTTATTAATTTTTATTAATTTTTATTAATTTTTATTAATTTTTATTAATTTTTATTAATTTTTATTAATTTTTATTAATTTTTATTAATTTTTATTAATTTTTATTAATTTTTATTAATTTTTATTAATTTTTATTAATTTTTATTAATTTTTATTAATTTTTATTAATTTTTATTAATTTTTATTAATTTTTATTAATTTTTATTAATTTTTATTAATTTTTATTAATTTTTATTAATTTTTAATAATTTTTATTAATTTTTATTAATTTTTATCAATTTTTTTTAATTTTTATTAATTTTTATTAATTTTTATTAATTTTTATTAATTTTTATTAATTTTTATTAATTTTTATTAATTTCACCGGCACACAAAAAAAAGTGCTCTGTTCTTTTGACCGGACCCATCTATCTCTATGTATTTTGACCCGCTGAATTCGAATCTGAGGTCAGTTTGGCCAATACACCTCCAAAATTTCGAGAAAACTTTAAAAAACCGAAAAAAATGACGAAAATCGGCAATTTTGGTGATAGAAAAAAATTTAAGGACCTAAACCAAGCATGATTTTTATGTATTTCGATCCGCTGAATATGAATCTAAAGTTTACTTAGACCATAAGCCCTTTAATATATAAGTAAATTCCAAAAAACCCTCAAAAATAGCTGAAAATTGCGATTTTTATGAAGAAATAGCTATTTGTATTACTAGGGAGGAAAGTGCCACTTTTCCTCCCGCAGGATGAAGTTTACTGCCCGACGCGAAGCGGAAGGCAGTAAACATCCAAGGGAGGAAAAGGCACTTTACTCTCAAGTAATACATATGATTTTTCCGCCTCCCTTAAATAACAAGTCATTTTTAAATAATTTTGCGGAATTCTAAAAATAGCGTATTGTTGTAGCTCTATTATAATATTTGCCGTTTAACTTTAATTTTTTAAATATATTTAGTTCTTTAAAATATCTTACCTTCATTAATAAATAATTATCATCGGGGGCTTCTAGTAAAAATTTATTTACTTCCTCTCTTGAGAAGGTTTTTGCCTCATTAGGTTTATATCCCTGGTTTTGTCTTTTCAAGAAAGCAATTAATTTTGGGTATTTAATATCCACATTTTCTTTTATTTGAAGCATGGTACGTAGCATTGAATACTTGGACCACAATGTAGAGGCTTTTAATGTATCTGCTAATAGCGAAAAATACCCCAAAATAACATTTTCTGAGTAAGTACGAATATGCCTTTCTTCGGCCCATTGCTTGAAATGTAATACTGTTTTTCGTATTTTTATTTAGATTTTTGGGGTAATAGAGATGGTACTGTTGCATTAACCTATTCCAAAATATCCGGTGGTGTATTATTTATGTCTTCAAATTCGCTTGAATCACTCATTTTTTAAACATTATTTTATATTTTGTAGATATATTATAGCGTAACACACTTTGAAACTGATCTGTCAATCGACCATAGCATGCTATAATATTTCTGTCCTAAATTCGAAAATTGGATGAATCTATGAATTGAAGTCAAATTATTAATGTAAAAGTCGTTAAATTAAAATAATAATTTACTGATTTTTACTATTTTGCAAAATACAGGGTGTTCTATAAATAAACGGTAAAATTTATACTTATATAATAGAATATAGTTTAGGTCGTCAATGCCGTATAAGCTATTTCATTTATGACATACCATGACGTCACTCTTACTTTTCCTCCCTAGGGAGTAAAAGTACTTTTCCTCCCTAGGGAGGAAAAGTACAACTTTGCTCCCTGCAATGAGGCCAGGAAATGTATACTTTAGATAGAGGTAGGCGGAAAATTTTTTTTTTCGAAATTTTTCATGATTCTCATGTATTTCGATCCGCTGAATACGAATCTCGAGCATATTTAGTCCATACATACTTAAAAATGTACGTAAACATCAAAAAATCCCCGAAAATTTCGAAAAATTGGAGTTTTCATGATGAAAGAAATAGAAATTATTCATGATTTTTATTTATTTTGATCGACTGAATCTCAATCTCGAGCGTAGCAATTATACGTAATAGTCCTGGAATGAAATCTAAATTTAAGGTCCATTGAGAATTCCTTTTACTAATTTGAGAAAGCGAAAAAGGAACCCTTTACGTAGGTCATTTGATGACAAAAGGATTCGATATAAGCGAAGAAGGGATTGAAATCACAAAAGTTTTAGAATAGATTTTTTGAAAAAAATAACTTAATAAAGTACAATCAATTTTTTAAATTATTTTAAGTGCAATTTTTATGATTTTTTATAGATTTTTTGCAATTAACTAAAATCTTT